ATATGGTGAAAGGTAAAGTGCGTCCCCGTAGGTCTGGACTTACGACCTATAAGGGAGAGTACAGGTACACCATACAGTAGACTTAGGCCTTTACTTCCGTACACAAGGAACTAGAATAACCGGCACTGAACTCGCTACCCTCCACTTTCCCCATCTGCAAAGTAAAGTACCCATTCTCAGCTGGATGGACTAAGGGGGAAGGGGGTTATCAGAAGTTTGAGCCAGGGTCCCTATGACAGGAAACGAGTGCTATTATCCACTAGGCCACCGCACCCTTCCGTATATATATTACAAATGTCCGATAAATGTTGTGAACTGAATGAATATAAAATTGCACCAAGTGTTTAAAATTAGCACCATTTATAATAATAAGATAAACATTAAAGGAAACACCTGTAGATTAGGCACCCCAACTTAACTCACCTGAAGATTGGACACCTCCAGCTTGACTCACCTGGATATTTACCACTAATACCACCTGGGGGGTAACGGCAGGTAAAACTTGAGGCAGACAACACAGGTGTTACGCGGTTTTGGCGGGAAAAGTTACTTTATGAAAATAGTTTATGGGTGATACTGAATGAATTATTGGGGAGTGAGGCAGCTGTGATTTTTAGGCCTCTGTGTCGCCTTATCTCTCGGAGGGGAGGGGATAGGGTCAATAATATACTCTCGAATCACCGTAAGATTAGACACCCCAGCTTATTTCACCTCAAGATTTGTCACCCTAACGCTAACCTAATCTAACCTAACACAAACCTAATCTAACATAATTTAATCTAACCTACCATAACCTAACAACCCCAAAGTAACATTAGGGTGTTCAATCATCATGTGAAATAAACTAGGGGTGTCTAATCTTCAGGTGATCATCAACCTACACTGGAGTAATTCAATAACCGATATTGGCTGCTGGGCTTCATTGAGCCAAGTGTGATTTTATTTCGCGCGACTTGAAATGTCCTCCGTGGTTGAGTGCGGTAGATGTGAAGTAAATTTCCGTATTTAACATTATTTACGCAGACTCGGTAGGTGATGACGTACAGTAGAGACGGTCAAAATAGTAATGGTGTGGCAACATTATATAAACAAAAAATATTTAAAAGCAAATTAGGTTAAAATCGAGGTATGTGTTTATGCTGGTATTCCTCACATCACTGTTTATGACGAGTGAGCAAGTGCGTGCGTGAGTGAGAGGGGCCCATAAGTATGACGGGCCATTTGGGAAAGTATGCAGACGCAAAGAAACACCATGGCCGGGCAATGTACTCGACTACCTTCACTTCCTCAACTGTAAAGGCAAACACCTAACACAACCACCAATAACAACATCTATCAATTAAATACAGGTAAATCACAGTCACCTCACCTTCGGCACCAACGCCTCTCAACTCCAACAGGTAGATATGGCTCCATAACTCCTCTCTGAGAAAGACAAAATTCCTCGCTAAATATAGATACGTTGTGTGGCTGACTGTACAGGTGGACACTAATACTTTTACCTGAATAATAAATAATAATAATAATAATAATAATAATAATAATAATAATAATAAGAAGAAGAAGAAGAAGAAGAAGAGACAGTGGTGGTGCTTGACAAGTGAGAATCATATTCCCCTTCACGCCCCCACATTCTCCATGCCTTCCTCTTCCTCCTCCATTCCTCTAAATCTCTCTCCTCCCCCGTCTCCTTCAGGCCTTTACCTCCTCTACACACTTCCTCACCCCTCCCCTATGTCTTCCATTTCTTCACGCACCCCTTCCTCCACACCACCCCCCCCTCCTCCATGACACCCCCTCCCTCTCCAAGCCACCCCCTCCCTCGTAATATGACCACAACTATTGATCCAATGGTCACTAACATGGTCACACACAGACATACATGCACACACACATCGATCTGTCCCACACACCACTACCCTCCACCCGCGGGGAATAATTTGTATATGTTTTGTTGGACAGAGGTGTTTCGGCGTCAACAAATAGCTGGAATAAGGCACCTTGTTATTACTCCAGCTGTAGGCGAAAATTTACCACACAGTTTACCTTGTGTTTAGTGCTATTTTATTACTCCCCGCAGCTTGTGTTACGAACTGTGTGTGTGTGTGTGTGAGGGGTGAATGTTGGAGAGGGGGTAAGAATGTGTTTGTAAGGAGAATGCACGAATACACGGGCGAATGGAGTAAATGGTGTGGTATAAATAATAATAATAATAATAATAATAATAATAATAATAATAATAATAATAATAATAGTAATAATAAAAGTTGAAAATCTACAACACAATAGTACCGTGTGTGTGTGTGTGTGTGTGTGTCTGTTTTTGTGGTGTGTGTGTGTATGCGTGTTGACTGTTAATATATATGTCAAGATTTCCCCCCAGCCAGGCAAAGGGAATTCCCCGCCAATAAGGAAGGTGGGTTTGGGTAAGGCTACAACAGGGTCATTATGAGGCACACGCACCTACTGTAATGTTTCTAAGCTCAAGGTATTACTCACCGACACATGACAGGAAGGGAGCTGTAGGGGTGCCGATGGTCATTTTGGTCACAGCTCGAGTTAAGGCGCCGCGCCGTCACAAAGGGGAATACTCAGACCAAGTATAATGTTTTCCTGGTATTGTACAGCGTTATCCAGTACCGAAACTTTACGTCTGAGATTCAATTTAAGTAAAAGGTAAACAGGAGATTCATTAGATGAAATAACTTTTACCGTTCCTCATACCAACTAAATATTTTATGTGAAATTCGTCTTGTTGTTTGGAAATGCGCAAAACTCATTTAAATATTATTTAAATGAGTATAATTTGGAACGGGTGCCCGGGGCATGTCTAGCATGAACCCAAAGGTGGTACACGCGACCATGGATATTTCAATGGTATATAATCTGAAGAAGTTAAGTACTTAAGAGACTCATCTATGATTGAAATACTAACAGGTCTTGTGCAAAGTATTAAAAATTCAACCAAACGTCTAGGGTGTTAATTATATCGGTAAAAATAATCCAAGCGCTGTTTGGCGCCAAACAAATGTTTTCCATAGCAAGACATTTTGTCACTTTCTGTCCTTAATACAAAAAATTTCCATACATACCTCAATGCAATGGTTTTCCTATATTCTTCTCTTATCGCTAATGATGGATATTTTCTCGATGGATTGGGAAACAATAGATAAATAGCGATAAATGGCAGAGCTTCAACTTCCTTCTGCACCATAGAGGTTTGTTTACTTTTTGAGAATTCGTTCGTGAACATTTTGATTCGCCTGTCATTGTGTCATATCAATTGTCCTTATTTCATAATATAAATGAAACAATAAATAAAACTACTTTTCTATGATCATATATCTTCTCGCTTTCTTCATTGGATTTTCTGACTGTCAATTACTAATGCCATTACGGCCATTATAATTCTATCCTTTACACGTTTCCTTAATTGTGAGGGAGAGTTAATATAAGTTATTATAGCCACAGAAAACACTTCATTTGGCGAAAAATCCTCCAATAGTCATCAACGAAAATAAATCTTTCATATAGTATGTATATTTTTTTTTTTACGGGAAATAGCCCACCTAGGCACAGGTCATCGACCCACAACGGGGCCTAGGTGGATATGATGAAACACCGACACATGACTTTGTGTTTAAAGTTGGAAATAAGATGTCATGAAGGCGATTGGTTGACAAGACATAAGGCGATACATCACCAGGGCAACCAGCAAGTTGATATAGCTGACATGAAAACAAGAAAAACTGCAATTTTTCCAAAGACAAAAATTTGCCTACGTACTGTCTACAAGGCAGAACACTTTATAAAAATAGTCACGAGTCTCTAGGCTATGACTGGGGAGGGGAGGACAAAAACTCACCAGACAAAACTAACCTAACCTAAAGTTAATATTGTGACACCCAACCTGTCCAGTGAGTTTTTGTCTATGTACCATGACAGTGTTACAACTCTACACCTGTTGTAACTTGTAGTAGACACAATCGTGTATTGTTGTTATAACAATACACAAGGCCTTTTTCAGCCTTCTGGTGATGTAGTTACGAATAAGTAAGAAAGTCTCAATCTATATACAGACAGACAGACATCCACCCACCTGCCACCTCACCACAGTTGGCTGGAGAAGAATTGGCAGCCACACACCTCTCACTAAGCTTAGTTCATGCACCACTTATTATAATCAGTCTTGTATTTACATCTTGTGTGTGTACTGTACTATAAAGGCTCCCATGTGACCTGTGCTGCCATCTGGTGATCCTTCCAGCTGTATGAAAAGAAAAGAATTTCAACCTGGATACATAGATAAAAATCTGGTCACTCACCATGAACTGTCTGTTGCCTTGACCACCACTGTCTCCTAAATATCTATAAGCTGGATGTGAATGTTTACTTACCTTGTAATGGATATTCTTTGTTTAAATTATATTGTATTTTAGGTGGCATTTTTATTTTTGAGGCATCCAAACCCAACTCCCTTTTTCCAATAAGGAGTCAACTTAGATTTTGTACAAATTTGCTCTTTTATTGCACAATTCATGTCGAACTTTAAAAATTACAGTGGACACCTGAACTGTTCATGTATCCACTGCAATAATTAGGCTGAACACGAGATCTGCCCGTTTGATGAGGTAAGTGGGACAGCAGATGGCGGGACTCATACTGTACGGCAGACACTGATCAATAATCTTCCCAGTACAGTAGTTGGATCCTTTATGGGTCTTAGGTGAGAGGCCACAAACTCTTATTGTGCAAAAAAAAGTCAAATTATGACTATAGTATATGCCGGCCTGTACAGCATCTACCAACACACACTACACTACAGCTATCAGCACAGGGCCAGAACAGGACACTGCAAATAGTATAGGATGAACTCCAAGTATAATCACAAATATGAAGAATAATTCATACAACAAATAATGAAAGTACTGGAAATCCATAATGTACCTTTTATATGAAGCAAAACTATTAATCCTAGAAGGTTTTAAAGAATATCAGTATACCAAGTGCTTTTTATTTATTTAGTCCACCTGACAATTATGATCCACAGAATTTTGTAATGTAATATGCTGATATATAGGGCAAAGCTTTTTATATGACTGAAACCATAAGTACCAATCTGATACCATTTACCAACACAAAGGCTGCAGCATGACCACAGTCTCGAGTAAGAGCCAAATACAGAGAAAAAAACTTGAGATAAACTTTACTTAATTGTTTAAGTAACATGATTAATGTGGCAATTTTCAATAAATCTCACATCTTAACACATTTTCATTCAAAAATTAGGATAAACTGATCTCTATGCCATTTCAGTACTTTTATAGTGAAAGTCTTAATTCCCCTACTGTCATCATCCCTGGTATGCCTGCAGTGTTACTAATAATGTATCACTATTGTCTGTAATCCCATAATACTCAATGATGAACTTTACTTAAGAAACATAAGTCACAGACTACACTTTCTGCACATACACTCTCAGTTCTGTACACCTGCATCCTCACTGTCTAAGTACCGTACTGTAACTTCTAACCTCAACTTTGTATTTTGTATATTCTGGATGGAGTTGAAGTGTGTTGAACCTCTGCTACATTCCGTAATCTACTTCATTTCTTGACCAGGAACACCTGACACACACTTGCTGAAGGGATAGCAGCCTCCACTTGCCTACACTAAATAAAAAACTATGGTAAAGAAGAGATTGCCTCACTAAGTATACACATGAGGGACAGGACAAGATATAAGTATTGTATATGTACTGAGAAACAATAAATGATAGATATAACAAGTGTAAGTTTTGAAGCAGTACATCATGGAGTGAAGATTGTGTACCAGATCAACGGAGTGGTACTGTACCGCTGAATGAGTGCAGCAAAGAAGAAAAATACCCATGGTAATGTTTACATGAATAAATGAGGCATACTTGTGCATAAAGTATTTCTCACTACACACAAATTAAATGGCTTATATTCTCACTGCAATCTTTCAGAAACTGTGATTAATTTACATGTAATATGCCTAAGAATCCATTTTTCCAAACTACAGCAGGTCACAATTTTTCATCAATTAATTCTGTGTGATATATTGCAGATGTCAAATTGTTATTGCTTAACTAAATGTACAGTAATATGAAAACTGAAGACAGTACAGTACAATACATCTCTGCTTCTTGGTGAGACTTCATATAAATGATTCTTAACAGTGGAATTATTTTAAAATTGGATGAAGATAAACATGATTTTCCGTGAGATACTAAACTACGATGTAACACTGGAGATAGAAAAAATCCCAAAGATTAATTTAACACATCATGAGTTTGCAATTGAGGTATTTGAACATCCAAGTCACTCTAGATAAATGAATGTGAAGATCTAACAGCTTGATATATACCTGTATGAACATTCAAAGTCATTCTTGATGTATATGTATGTAAGCATGTGTGTATGTTTGTGATGATCACGAGTCAACAAATTATAAGCTACATCAATTAGTACTCACACCCAACCTGTTCAGTCACCCTCATCGTAAATGAACACCCAAAAAGGAACTTCAAGGGCTAAATTAATGATTGGAAAACAGTATCAATTAGGACACTGGCTACGTCCACATAAAATACAGTGACCATGAACTATGAGAATTGAAAGACCAAGAAAAAACTTAAATCACAATCATATATCACATGGATTTCTTTATATATATATATTTTACTGGGAAGGTTCATGATACTTAGACCATTAATATGATTTTTTTAATTCATAATGTCCTTTCTTCTGAACAATCAATTATTATTCAGTCAATGCTGCAGCTATCATTCCCAGTGCAGGTGTGGAATGTTGCTAACTGTGGTAATTGCTACTGGTTTGGCACAATAACAAGGCCCTGACAGAGCTTGAAGTGTTGAGCATTGAGCAGAGGTAAACAGTTCAATTGGTACTCATATTTTCATATCATCCGTATTAAACCCAGAAATTGCTCTGAAGCTTATAAATTTGGCCGTATAAAATTGGTGCTAAGCATTATATGTTCACTTCCAGACATGGCAAGCGAGACGAGGCAGAATTTAATGTAACTGAAGAATGCCCGAAAATTTGCAACAAAGGAATCTGTACAAGAGCTACCTCGGACAGGACTTGCCTACAATAATTTATTCTTATTAGTACACAGAAGGAACAAGACAATATCTGTTATAGATGGAATCTAGAAATGCTGGGAATATGAACCTGAGGCACACCACTTGGTCTTGGCCACTAACAGAATTTAGTCATCATTAGTCCGTCCACCTCATTGTGCAGATTAACAGTGTTTCTTGTGCAAGCTCAGTTAACCATAATTTATAGATGTGGACTATCCAAAATTCTATTGGTTAACTGTGTGAGCAACTTGGCACACTAAACCAGGTAAGTTTCAAAAGTTTCTTTTGACAAATTGTTGAAAACAATACATTAAGTAGTGAGGGGAAAGTACATTCTTCAGATTGTTTGTGAGAAAGGAGGCCATGTCTACATTTTTGAGGTGTGCCAGGGCTGAGGGAGGCAGGAACTGGACACCTACATAACCAAATGAATATGTTGGGTCAATTATACCCAGGCACCTAAGTGGCCACACACACACATCACCCTGATCAAGGATGCAGGCTGAGTGTTTCATGGCTACTCAGGCCCACTTACATACAGTCATCTGTTTAAACGAGCAGAATTAGGTACTTGTACGAAACCATACTTTGTTGTGATGCCAGTACTCAACATGGTAAGTTACATGTCAAAGAGGCACAGGGTCACCAAGAGCAGGTATATATAGTATATAGCTCTGGGACACCACTGGCCTTATTAACTACATAGGCTTTGATGATCATTGTCCTAATTCATAGATAGACTTGAGGACGTCATCAGTCTGGGTTGTTGTTGAACTTGTATTACAGATTTGGGTATAGGCTGCCATGATCTAGGGATATACAGAGCAAGCATTGGAAACCATTATCTGAGAGCATCATGAGCTATAACTACCAGTACAACTCTTAATATTGTCAAACGGTCCCATCAACTAGTAGTTCAATCACATGGACCATCTACACCATGAGCTTCCATTCAGAGACTCTAAATGGTGTGATATCCACTGACAAGATGTTTTGTTTTTCAGCATCTGTCAATATTGTTACTTTCACTACTGGCAATGGCCATTATCTGACAGCAAACACCCTCATATGGAATCACATATACTGGCTTTGGACACCATGTGCCTTGATTACAACTATTGGTATTGGACACTTGGGGCGGGGCCTCTGACAAAACTACATATTCGTCAAGGATTTGCAAGCACAGGCTTTAGACTCCAATACTAAAGTCACAAGAACAGATATTAAGAGATCTATAGCCAAGGTCAACTTGGGTGTTGGACTATAAATCAGGTCATGAGCACTGGCTTTTGACCCCTTCAACCCAAGTTACAAGCAATGGCAGTCAACTCCTCTATTCAGGTTACCAATCATTGGGTTACAACACTACGAGCCTGGGTCACACAACAGTTGGCATGGGTCGCCACATGCCAAGATAGGCAATGACTTGCACACCGTGAGCGAGGGTCACAGCTCCTAGCTGGGGTCTCTGAGAGCCAAGGACACAGCCATGGGCTGGGGGTCATCATGGAATGGTTGCACTGTGTGCCTGCCTTCAGTGGGCTAAACTTAACTGGCTGCTCCAAACATAGCTAATAATCACAGCACAGATGACTGAGTCTGCATTCAGTCACATATTCAACTAGTCAAAGTATGTACAGAGCTATTAATTCAACCAGAATTAATCTTCGTAGCTTCAACTGTCCACATCTGTAAGGCAAGCACACAGCAAAATTTATGGAAGGGGTTGATTTGTTCCCAAAACTTATTATACATTAATTACATACTGATAGACCTGACCTAATTTCAGGATTAGCTGATGAGTAGAATATATCTTGGAGAAAACTCAAACAACTTGAAATATTCAAAACAGCACCATTTTACAAGAAGGAAATATTTACAGATACATCTCATATATATACCACTTGACACTGAAAAATTTCAAGAAAGATTTCATGACATATTTATTAAAGTTTTTAAAACTTCTAATAATGATTATGAGCATGATCTACATGACAGGTAGTCAAAATGGAATAACAGGGAATTGTGTGGAGTTGGCTGAACACAACCTAAATATCAACTAAATATTCAATGGTCCTTTGTTAGAGTACTGTTAAGGCACTCATTTGTCATCACAGACATTAACGCATGCGCCAGTAGCCAAACTAGGGTACTGCCAGTCACTCAATATGCAGTAGCACTTCAACAATTAAATACTTTATTATCAGTCAAGGTTGAAATCTACTGCGGTCAGTGGTCCCTTGACTTAGTCTTGTCAGTCAATGGTCCCGCGGTCAGACCTACATTGACCAGACAGTAACACGGTGACTGGCTACATGACCGGTCCACCACACTTTCATGTAGTAAAATCAATGCGGTCCCATGATAGGCCCGACGTTACATCGTGGGCCTTGAGGTCCATTTCCTCCAAGTTAAAGAGGTCCAATTGGTCCTGATTATTAGAGAGCAGAGGATCACTTTGGTGCACACTGATACCACTCCTGCCGCCACTACTACTTGTACTGCTGGTACTGCAGCTACTGAGATTACCTCCTCTGTTGCTGCAGCTGCTACTACTGCCACTGTTATAATTACTGCTCATGCCACTATCACTGTTGTTACCGGAGGTGCATACTAGATGGGATGGCGGCCATGGTGGGATAAAGTTTGTGGTACTTGAAGAAAGAGTTGGGCCGTGAGTTGGAGGAACCAGAGAGTCGAGCCATGACGCGACGTCGACGTCGTCGTTGACCTCCATCTTAACATCTATCGGTGGGCCTACAGTAACAAATGGCTCTTCTGGTCTACTTGAAATAAGCAGATCAGGGGCCATGTTGCTGTGGTCAAGAGTGTGCTCCAAGGCTCCCAGCTCCATCCCTTCCAACACAGGTAATTCCAAATCCAGAGGAATTTCTAGGCCAGGTTGGTTTGACCCCTCCATCACCAGATCTGCAAACAGTGAATGTGAATTCAGGCCACTGGTGACTATTGGGGATGGGCAGGAGTTGGCAACACTGAACACTGCTTGTCCTTGAGAAGTTGTTGACGTAGCAGAGGTGGTGCGCTGACTAGAATGGTGAGGTGGAGGTGGGGGTGGTGGCGGCGGTGGTGGGACTGCAGCTTCTACAGTTGCTGGAACAGTAGCTGCAGTGGTATATACTGCAGGCAGTGAAGTGGCTGAAGTAGTGAATATGACAGGCAGTGCACCTGAGGTACTGCTGAAAACAGGAGCACCAGCAGATGTGGTAGTATAGATGACAGATGAGGCAACCGATGTGGTGGTGAAGATTGGTCCACTTCGACTACATCTTAATTGAGTTGGAGTGTGAGGGTCTTGGGCAGCACTAGGTGGCAGCTCTGAAATATATATACAAAGATTACCGAGTGAGAGAAAGAGAAATAAAAGCGTTTTCATAAATTTCACCAAGTGTTACAAATATTGTAACTACAAACTTTGTCCTAAAATACCAATACTGTACTGTATAGAGAAATCAGTTTATCTTAGTTATATAACCACATATCTTACCTCCATTCTTAATCAATATTTCCAAAACATCATCAACAGCTTGACTTTTGACAGATAACTTTCGATTTTGGGTTTGAGGAGATGATTTGGTAGAGATCTGAAAGTACATATTTTATTAAGACACTCACTTAACACAGACATGCTGTTTAACTTAATCACTTTGGTATCTGAGAATTTACATGTATACTGTATATGGTGGCTCGAGACTATTTTCTTGTATTCGTGAGTGACCATTTAATCTAATTCTTCCCTTAATATAGTAATGAACAGTGTTAGAGAAGAACATGTATAATTGTCAAGTGATAATAGCATGGTGAGGTGGCCATGCAGAAACCACCATTATGTGTGTAAACAAATAAACAGTGATGTGGATATACCCTTCAATAACAAATACCTACAACAGCAGAACGAGTATACAGTGAAACCTCTATTTAACGGACTACAGTATGCGGAGAGGAAAGTCAGTTATATGTGAAATCTCCATCTCGGGGATTATTTTGAGAGAGAAGTTCATTATATGGAGGTTACACTGTAACATGAGAAAGAACTCTAGTGACAACAAGGTCCTCCTCCTACAGGTGTGCACGAGGGCTGTGAGAGAAGGTAATGACTTACCATTGTTCCCTTCAGCTGTTTAGTAGCCTCATCATAATTGGGTGGTGGCTTGATAACAAACTGAGGTTCTAATGCTGTTCTGTTTACATTGTTATTATTATTGTTGTTATTGTTGTTGCTGTTATCACAAGTGCTGGTAACAATGAGCCCTGAGAAATTGGGCAAGGAAGCAGTTCTGAAATAAAGATACAAATAATTAATTGATATAAGAACATTTTTATATGCAGTAGAGTGGACTGAATATATCAAGTTGCCCTTTAGTAGAAGATTTGTCAAAATGACCTTAAGGTTATGTTAAACTTTTTCAAACTGTTCTATTCCAAGTGAGACATCACTGGGTAATGACTTTTAAGACAATGAGTGAGACCTTTTACAGTATATATCTAATATTTAGTTCCCCTGAAATTTTTTATGAAGATTAGACTGACCTTTGATGAGCATTAATAGCGATGCCATTTTGTGAGGATATAGATCCTGAGCGCTGGTTCTTTGGTTGTTGGTTGGTGTGAGGGTTGGGGGAGCCTAGCAGTTGTTCCCAGCCATTCTCCAACTTGACTCTCACCTCCCCAACACTGTGCTGGTGCTGCGTCTGCTCTGACTGATGGTGGTGTTGGTGTTTCTGGTGATGGACAATAGCACACTGCTGTATGCCATTCTCGTGAATTTTCTTTAAAGGTTCGTGTTGGACCACTTGTTGTTGCAATAATTGTTGATGCTGCTGTTGCAGTGTTTGCAAATGATGGAGCTGCTGAATATGACTTTGCAACTGTTGTTGTTGTTGCTGTTGTTTTTTGTTGTGAATATGCTGTTGTAGTATGAGTTTTTGGTTTAATTTGTTATCAGAATTATTTTTACGTTGCTGTTGCTCCTGGGCTTTGATAATATTTTGTTGCTGTTGCAACTGTAGCTGCATCTGTGTATGGTGAAGCTCTCTTTGAAGTTCCTCAATTCTTCTCTGTAGTTGCACCATTGTTTCATTAGACACCATGGAATTGTTGGGGGCTTGTGAGGTTGTTTGACGAGTCATTATAATTTGATTGGGAGGAGAAGTCACTGTTTGGCCAAGAGCGGACACCAGCACACTACCAACTGGAGAACAAGAGCTTGCTGGGACAGTCTGTGTGGGTGGTGGTGGTGGAGGGGGTGGTGGCGGTGGTGGTGGTGGAGGTGGAGTGTTTATGGAGCCTCCATCACTAAGGTGGAGACTAAGGGGAGTGAGGGCACCACTGGGAGTCAGAGGAGTGAAGTCATTTGTATCCATTGCAGAGTCAAAATCCACATCCATGGGGGCCACGCTGGAGGGCCGTGTAGATGACGCAGAGATGTGAGAGTACGCAGGAGAAGATGCACTGTCGTCTCCAAAATCCATTGATGCTTCCAATAATCCTTGAACTGAAACAATCACACAATCAATTTTAATATTTTTTTTATTACCGTTGAAAAAATATTCACTTTTAATACATCCATATGAAGTAATTACTATTTAATAATACAATAATCAGTTTCTTTATTCTCCATCTAAGGTGAAAAGAATACAATAGTATGCCACTTTTGTCCGCGACTCTGCCTAGCTTTTTGATGTACTACCGTATTAACATTTAACACATTCCTTAAATCCTGCCACACAAGAATCCCCGAATAAAAAACTTACCCGAAGAGTCGTCTGTAAAGTTAAACGTTGAGTTTGTGGGCGTGGGAGTCGGGGAAGGCTCCTGTAGCAGATGTGCCACCGGCAAGATACTACTGCCAGTGGAGTCTGTTTGGGTTGCACTCGTTTTTTCTTCTGTGTCCACCGGTGCGGGCGTGTTAACGGTCTCTCTCTCAACACTGCCCAGTCTCATTGTAACCGAGGTATTGTTACTATGAAGACTACTATTACTACTACTGATGCTGTTGTTGTTGTTCAGACTGGTGATAACAGCAGCAGAGTTCTGGGCAGCGTGGTTCTTTAATCTCTCTATCAACTGAGGTTTGGAGCCAGACACAGGTAGGTTTCGTTTCTTCAGCTCTGCCTTCAGATCCGACACTAAAATTAAAGAATGGAATTGGTCAATTTAATTATTAAATATAACAAAGAAACTTAATGCAAAATAAACTTTATAAAGAGGAATTGTCTTCTCATTAATCCCTTCCATACCGCTCACTTCTTTCATAAAATATTCTTATACAGTACTGTATTAATATTCTACAAGATCTTCTAACAAATCTGATAATATATTTGCACTCCCTTAACACATGACTAAACATCTTACCTAAATTTCACAAAAACATGATACTCCCACCAATGAATGTCTTCCCAATACACTCATACTACTTCATATCCCAATAACTTTCCTATTTTTAATGTTTTATTTAGTCTCTTTACCTTTTATACCAGTCTTTTTTTTTTCATTCCCTTCTTTCTCCTAACATTACTTTCTCTTTAATAACTTTCACATTTGCATCAGTCATCACAGGAGAGGAACTAAACCTGTTAATGTCAATCAATTAACTAAAACATTTCATAATAAAGTGATACACAGACATGCACATACCTTTCATATCTTCCAACTTGGTGTGAACTCTCATATTGGTTTCTGGTGGTGTAGGAGGTGGTGGTGGTGCAGGAGGTGTAGATGAGGGTGTTGGTGTAGAGGTGGGAGTGTGTACCGGTGTATGCAGGACCTGAGACAGGGTCAAGCCACTGGCCACAGTGGAGGATGGTAGTGGGGGCGGTGTTGGCGCTACTTTGATAACGTTGGCTAGACTGCTGGTGTTGGAGCCGTCGTTGTTGGAAGGCTTTAATGCTGCTGGCAATATAATCTGGGGATACTGCAACAGAAAAAGATCAAAATCATTAGTACAGTATAATATTAAACAGAAAGTTGACTATGAAAAATGTAAGCAGGTGGTATAAGTGACATATGGGTGGTAGTGTATCAGGAGCTTGATGCTGGTGGAAACAAGTAAAGCACAGCAAATACACAGATGGAATAAAAACATTTATCTTTGGAGTACAATTATCTCAATCTTTTCCATACCTTTTGTTTGAGTTCAAGTTGGCACTGGAGGAAAAGCTGTTGCTGCTGTAGTAGTATATCATAAGATGTTTCGGAGTGGTTGGTGTTTGACTCACGCTTCACTGCACTAGGAGGACCCTGTTGGTAACAAATTGTGTTCTCAGTAAACTCTGGTCATTAGGAGATATGCTATATTAAGTACACAACTTGTATATCAATGCAAAAAAGAACTGCTAGTGATGTGTTACTGTAATACTGCCCAAACCTTACCTTATACTCATGAAACTTGATTGTTCTAGCTTTAGGTTGACTCTTTCCCTTAGATTTTTTCCTGCTCTTGGATTGGTCTTTCCCAGGAGCAGAATTCTGTTGGGGCGGTGTTGTAAGAGCATGAGGGAGAGACGTCCGGGTCACGAAGAGAGTCTGTGCTATAGAAGCTTGAGGGGAAGATAAGAGAGGGTGCTGGGGAGACGCTAAGGAAGATAATGGGGAGAGAGAGGAGGTGGTGGAAGTATGAGATGGAGAAGGAGCTGCTACATCAGGCACACAACTGATGGGGGTAGGTACTGTTGGTGCGCATGGTGGCGGCGGTGGTGGTGCTATTACTGCTGCTGCTGCCGGAGCTTGAATTGGACTGGCTGAGAGAAGCTCTCTGACCCCAGCAGCATTGTTGGCCTCACTTTGGTCTGGAGACATTGCACCCTCACTACTTGACTCATCTTCATACTGCACATATAGACTTGGGTGTTTCCGGGGTTCTCCCTCACTTGTGCTCTTGAACATTAACTGCCCCTCTGTCAGTGAGAGTAATGTTATAAGTTACTACAGTTTAAGAAGATACAGTACTGTAAGACACTAATGTTATCAAGATAATAACTTTTTAATTTCATTTCACTCTCCACTTGCACTTTATTATGTGGTCACACATCACTTGAATATTACAAGGTAAAAATTACAAATAGAAGTGTCAATTAAGTTCGTCAGTAGTTCTTACCCTTGACAGCTTTCTCGAGGTCTTCTGTGGTGTGGAGGATATTGGCTCTGACAAGTTCAAGGGGCCCTGGCCTTTGGCACAAGTGGTCACTTATGGCATCAGCTATCCTGGCTCGCTTCAGCTGTTTTTGCTTTTCCACCAATGAGGGATCAATATTTCCAGGTGCATCTGTAGACAAAAGATCACAAAATAAACAAAGTCAATGAAAAGAGAAAAAAATTAATCTTGCTCCAATCCAATGTTCAGAAGGTTGCTGTTATATCACAGATTGTATATATAGTACTATATAGTAATGATTAGTACCTTCCCTGATTAACCCCTTGTGTATGGGTTCCTCTCCGAGTTGAATAAAATCGTCTGGCATTGGCCAAATAAAATATTAAATGTGGCATCCCCATAGTGAAGGGATTAAGAAAAAATGAATATGTCACTCTGCTGTACATAGGTGTAAAAGCAGGTGTCTTCTATATAAGAGACTAAGACTGTTAACTTACCCTCCAGAATATGTTGTCGAACCAGCTCCTCTCTATCAGGTCGCCGCTGCATTTTCTGTTTGAGGATGTCATGTTTTTTGGCCATATCTAATTTCTGCCGCTGCTCGTAGAAGGCAGTCGGGGTGTTCATTGCTGTGGAGAATAAAACCACTATAAAACGAGAATTAAAAGGGTTACCGTTACTTCCCTGTGTTACTGTTACTGTACCTATATACAATATTTCTTTTGAGCTCATAGATAAAGTTGTAATTTAATCACATCATCTTCCTTAGTGTGTAGAGGATTAAGGAATAATAAAATTTTAGTGTTATCCCATTCCACATACTTCTTGTTATAAGGCAAATGCAGTACCTACAACTTTACAAGTACTGTATAGATATATGATACACCCCAGCCAGCAAAGATATATGGCACCCCAACAACATCAAGTCCTGTCAACACTCACGAGGGATTACTCCGCGGTTCACTAGATCCTCCCGTGGTCGTCGTAGCATCAGCTTCACTTTCAATGCTGCAAATAAAAACAAATTAAATTTAACGTTACAAGATATGTTTTCATTTAAACATAAAAAACCATCTGCCGTACACGTGTCCACATTAAGATTTAGTTCCCATCTTTACCAGTAGAATAATTCCATATATTAAACACTAATCCAAGTCTCACTCATGGATTATTAATTAAAATATACATTAAAAATACAGTAAACTAAAGGATAATAATGTATAGTTCTCACTCATGCACTGCTGGTATTTATAAATGTGAGTTACTGTACTGTCCTTAGGTAGAGAAGAGTGTTACCGGTTAACTCTCAAACTGTGAAAGCCGTGAATATTACGCCTGTACGGTACTTTACAAGACTATTAAACAAACACCAAGGGACTGTTTTACACATAATTTGGTAGCAGAGGTTCGTGTACACTGCTGTAAGGTGGGGCTGCCAGGGGACTGAAACACTGTCCTTCTTTTAGATAATTGCTCGGCTCGCTCTCAGGTGTAGCGGCTGAATGTAAATAACTGTACTGTATTATTGTTGTTTATGCCTTCATGTTTTCTTTCGTTTTTGAGTATATGTGGTGTTTAATTTTTCTTTATTTAAAAATGAGGACAAAACAGATATCAAGTGAAGGTTAGGTTAGGTGTATTAGAGACACTTGGGGTTGTCCTCTACTGTACATTTAAATGAATACTGTAATGAACACTCAATCAAACCAAAAATATCTTTACGAATGGGTCCGATAAATCTCAAAATGAACACTGCGACTCCTATTGTCTCATTGGGGTTGTCAAAATATGGCCGTCAAAGTATTTGCTCATGTCAAGACCAATCCGTCGATCTTTATATGATTTTTTTTTAAATCCTACCTTGTCAAATAATTGTCATAATCAAAACATTTAAATTTTCAAACAGCATTTTCTCTTTATCTTACAATTTTCTATCACTGTCTACCTTTCCTAATGCCATACAGAATATATATAAACTTTACTCAACAAATTCTAATACAGTAGTGAAGAAATAACAGCATCATATTTACTCTAATACTGCATAAAATAGTTAAGTGCCTCATGTGTCATACTGATCTTGGGAGATACAGAAACATTTAAGTAACTTCACTATGTCAAGTCTTACCCGCACTGTCTGGCTGATGCACCGAGGAGTCAAGAGATAGAGAGGTAAAGCCACACCTGTCTAACGGCTCACACACCAAGTGCCACAAGTTCACCATAGTTAATGTCTTTAATATTAATCACTTTAGGTAATGTTGTATAATTAATGCAACTGTTTCATATACTGCAAACAATCACACACTAAAAAATATTCTCATTTTCTTATCACTGTGGTACAAGGTATCATATTTTTTTTTAAGGAGCTGCCTCAACTTTGATAACCTCTAACACATTCTGTTTACACAACACATCTGAAATCTTCAAGTTTAACAAGAATACCCAAACTTTTTCTTTATCTATTCCTTATAATGAACACCAATCTCATAAACTCGTGCACCGATTCCTCCAACGGTCGCTACAGCGCATCACGTAAACTGGTGGATGAATACTAAAAGCTGTGGGTGTGGCGAGAAGTGTCACTGTCGCCGAGTGAGTCTTGGTAGTAAAACACTAAGCCAGACCAGACCACAGGAAGGAAGGCAGATTACATGAACTTCAGTATCACCCTTCCTAATTATGAGCAGCTCAGATCTGAAATTCCTAAACACTCCTTATCCATTTAACATTTGACATTTAATAGACCACAATTACCACTACAGTACAAGTCTTTTGGAAATATCCATTTGTGTGTTGATGATAAATTTATCTATGTTTTTAAAGAGAGAAAGAGAGAGAGATAATGTGAGAGTAAGTGAGTGAAGGAGTGAGTGAGCAAGACAGCGAGTGAGAGAGATAGTGTGAGTGTATATGAGAGAGTGAGTGAGTGAGTAGTGTGAGTGTATATGAGAGTGAGTGAGTGAGTAGTGTGAGTGTATATGAGAGAGTGAGTGAGTGAGTAGTGTGAGTGTATATGAGAGAGAGAGTGAGTGAGTGAGTAGTGTGAGTGTATATGAGAGAGTGAGTGAGTGAGTAGTGTGAGTGTATATGAGTGTGATACAATATACAATATATATATAATTCTCAGAGGTGGTGTTCAAGTGCCTGCCTATACAGCACCTATTTATAAACCCCACTTGTACACAGGTAATTAAAACAGAAGGGATGAGAAACTTACACTCTTTGTTTTTGTTGAGAGCCTTGCCTTGTAGTGGGGAGTCGTCTACCTCACACTTAGGGGGGGACAGAGGAATGAAGGGGGGCTGAGAACCCTCCCCATTGCTGCTGTCCGCCATCTTGCTTAGGTCGTTCAAATTGCAGTCCTGGAAAATACAAATAATCTTAGAACAAAATATAAATAAAAAACTGATAAAGGTTAAGACAATGATAATGAAGTTTGAAAATTGAATAAACAATAAACATTACTTAACAACCCTATTTAATTTTAATGGCTTATAACTACCTGTACAAACTATGTACTTCGGGTCACTCAAAAAATCCATCTTTACCGTGGGTGTCGATGAATCTCAAAATGAATACAGTAACCTGACTCCTGTTGTCTCGGTAGAGTTGTCAAAATCCTTCATCCATTGGGTAAAGTAAATTTTTTGAGCGACTGTACAATATAATAGAGTAAAATAGTTCTTGTTGACAAAATTACAAGACCTAAACAACTGCAAGAATCTTCACAGTGGACATGACTTAAGAAATACTAACTGGGTACCGGGTATATTCTTTATTCACTCATTCTAGCCCCTCCCACATCATGTACAGTAGCTTAGAATGATGAGCAACTACACACATTCTACCTTCAGTCATTTTTACAACTATAATACATGTGTTTTTGTTATGGTAATCCCTTTCCACACCATGACTCCCAAATCTGGTTCACTAACTTATCTTTTTACCGTTTTCCTTCTCTGCTTATTTCCATCACTTTACATTCACCCACATTCACTCTCATTTTTCACCAAGTACATTGTATAAACATTCTTTTCCAATCTCATTAAAGAAATTAAACATTTCTAACTCTTCTTCCAAATCACCCACTAGGAAAGTTAAGCAAGACTAAATTCATTTACTGTGACTTTGCCAAATCACCAGCATGTGAGAGTCATTTAGGACAACATTCGAGTTCCCAAGCATGTGATCACAATTTTCATCACTACAGTAGTTTGTTTATGCTCAGTATATAGTATAAAGTACACTTGCCTGCACTTATACCTGGTACAGTGGCTGGCATGTTTTGTGAGACATGGTAACCCTGTGGAATGTTTAACTTCCATCCTTAGTCTGGCTACTATTGTGAGGTTCCTTAGGGGCATTCCAGGAGCTTTAATACCAAGTAAACAAACACAGTTGCGCCAGCCACTGTACCAGGTATAAGTGCAGGCGACTGAACATGTTAAGATAACCCCAAAAATGGGGTATGGTACAAAATTATTTTAGCCCACTATGTACTTCTTCCATAAGAGGGATGAAGTTAATCATTGTGTCCCAACACCAGCACTGGGGTGTCAGGCTGTAGTGCGGAGGTGAGTATTGATTTCATGGTTTTACTTACTAAGTGTATGTTTTATATCCTACACTTTCTCATCCTAATCTATACTGTACTGTAAATGTACCTGTATTAATCTAATTTTCTTTGATGCTTTTATATTACAGGGCATCTCATTAATGTTTAAATATTCCTCACCTATTTTCTAATATCTCAGGAGTTTGTTGATAAAAGTAAGTGTAGTTGTCAAGTATTCAAACCCCATTTTCATAATAAGGTCTCGGTACAGTATTTAAAATGAACCCCCTTAAAAATACCAACAAGCCCCTGGGAACATAACCTCATAAAATTACACAGTTTTTTTTATAGAAAGTCCTGTACTGTATTGCCTGAATTTACTTTTTTTCTACCTTTAACTTCCTTTCCCTGATATACAATGCCAAGTAGAAAATCACATACAGTACAGTACTGATTTATTATTTCGGCAACTTGTGGTTTAGGTTATTCCACCTGGCAGGATGTTTATGCACCAGTTATCTCACTCTCAACATGTGTAACTGATACTGTTCTCATATTAGTGATAAGTGTGTGGGAGTCAAGAGTCATAGAGTACATTACAAAGACAACCCAAATCTTCCTCTCTGGCTGGGAATCAATCCTTGGACCTTTGGCATCTGATGCATATTCTCTACCACTGTTATATTTTACTTGTACTGTACTGTACTACTCCACGGTTTTTACGGTACGGTACTCTCTCACACTCAAATAATCCCGAGATATTCTCCATCTCTTGAGAACTTCATCCTTCCTCACTTGGAACTCACCATCAACTTAAACACCTTCACTCTTGACAAATATTCTCGTCTAAATAGATCGAAAAACACTTGTAAATACGTCGTACAGGTTTAACAATCTCGGGTGTGTGTTGTGTTGTATGCTCACAGCGTACACCAGGTGGGACACTGAGATGTGTTTATGATCCACATGAAAACATTATATAATAAAGTTCTCTCTTATCCATATCAACTTTTATTTATTTCTATTGATATTAATACAGTAGTGTAATAACAACAGCTACAGGAGATTAAATCTTAGCTACATAAACAGCTTCATTCTCATCCTACCATTTATTACTGTACTCCATGAGACTTTTAAAGCAATACTCTGGTACTGGTATGTCTGTAAAATAAATTGACTTTGAGACTAACACACACACACATTCCTCTCAGTTAAATACCTCGCCATTTAACTCGTGGACTCAACACTTAAAACCAAAGAATGACAACCAATTTACAGTACAGAATATAGACCACGTATATGAAGAACGTGTTTTTGAGCTTGCATTTTTTTATTGGAGGGGGGGGGGGATCTTTTCTACCCAACATCCTATAAAAATGAATTAATCTACTGTACCATAGGAAGAATGACAAATAGAATTTTCCTTACCAATTTGAACTTCATTACTGTGTGGTATATCGACATTGGCTGCATGAAATGAAAAATGGAAATATGATTAATTAAATCTAGTGAAGAGAAAAAAAATGGTGATTTCTTTTGATCCTAATTTTTAAGAGACAGAGATGATGATGATGGTAGTGGTGATGAGTATGATGGTGTTGATAATGATAATAATAAAAATAATAATAATAATACTGTAATGATAATGATGATGATGATAGTAGTGGCAATGACGATGGTGATGATAACATCCATCACCATCCTATCATGACCTACATATTATTATTACTATTGTTATTATTATAAGATTACAGGAGTATTTGCTATCCCTACCACAACATACCAATACAGTTCTGTACTTCATTTAATTAGCAATAAAACTACCAGTGTACAGTACATACACTTACCCTCAGTACAGTATCTAGTAAATACATCAATAAACTCACTACTTAATCTCCCCACACATTACACCTCCAAGTAATGGTTCATATGGGAAGCTGTGACTGTGTTTACAAACCCTAGTATTGTAAGAGAAAAACTTTATCCTGACTATTACAGTTACTGTATCTCCCTCACCTTCTGTTACAGGTATGAGACTGTAATGCCTGTAATAATAAATGGTGCACAAGTCAGGAGGAACAACTCGGTGTTTTAATGAGCAGGTGGGTTTACGAGTTAACTGACACATAAAACTGTTTACGTTTGGTTTAAGAGGAAGAATAACTCTCGACTGTTCATTGTTTCCATTTATTAAACTTTCTAGGGGGGGGGGGGACAGGACTTTATACACATCCTATAGATCACACAACTTATTAAACAATCCGCACTACTGTACTAAACTTTTGGTTGTACTTAAGTTACCACACAGGACAGAGGGCCAGACATAAACAAAGGAATAACCTTTTCTTTAATAACACAGTGGAGTTATAACTTAACTTAACCTGACCTGACCTGACCTAACCTGGCTTAATAGTGTGAGGTGTTCAATTCATCAGTAAGTTTCAATCTAACATATAATTAAAAAATAATATTAATAAAGATACTATATTATCCACTCTTAACACAATACATTGCTGTTTTATGAAATGTGAAACGTTACAACAAGACTCTGTTTAAATCCCCAAATATTCGCATCTTATGTTGAATAGTGACTAAGTAAATATATAAACGTAACAATATAATCAATTCAGTAAAACAATGATAGTCCTTTAAGTCACAGTTGTTGAGTATTGGCCAGAGAGTAAACAGGAAGAGACTTAAAACATACCTTACATAACTCTCTCTCAGGCTGGGAGCACGAACGACACACTGTAGCTAAATTCCCTACAGCTTTTTTTATTACTTTTTTTCTTCTTCGGTTAATTTTTATCATTTCAGTGCATGGATAAGATAAAATTTCGTGGCCAAGTCCAATACCACTGAGATACCACACAGGTTTACCCCCAACACACACCATAAAGTTTGATATATAAGGCAACAGGTGTCAACAGCTTTAGTTTATTTCCCTCGTCATGCTGGCGAACTATACAGGCTAGGCTGGCCACCGTAAGATTAAACAATAATAATTTATCTTTTCAATTAATAAAAGCTTAAAAAACTAATGATGTTCACATTAATTAATTGTATTTTCAACTGTGGAAATATCCAAGTAAGATTAAACATGAAAAATAAATTAATTCGTAAATGAGAATCATTTTGAAAATTTTTATCAATCTCGCCTCTATAAAATGTCACTATGTACGTATGTAGCCTATGTCCTTACCTTGAACCAGTGAGGATAGATAGCGGCGATGGTCTCAAGGAGGTCGGCGTCCAGCTGCACAGCCCAGTACACCGACTCCGTGCCGCCGACCACCACCTTAGTCCCACACTCTGTAAAAACACACACAAACTTAGTAATGTACACACTAATACAGACACAAGTAGTCCCACACTCTGTACAATAACACACACACTTAGTACTGTACTGTATTCTGTGCACGATAATACAGTCATAAGTAGTCCCACATACTGTGACACACACACAACTACCAACCGAGTATTCTTACACGCAAACATTCACAGTCACTAGAATTTAACAAGTAATCAGGAGGAAAGTTGACTATATTTTCCTACATCAGTAAAATGACTTAAAACAGAGAAACAACAACACATCACCCAGCGCGTCCGGCCATACGATAGTGATATACCAAGTGATCGCGACCTTCGTGCCAGTGAAAGTTTGAACGCTGGTGCTTGGCTAGAGTACAGCGAATGAGGGTGCACCAAGTCCGTAGACTTGCATCATTTTCCATCGTAAATAAAATGGTAAATTAATGCCTTCCTAAAGAAACCATCGACATGGGACCAGGTTTGTTCCACTCTACGAATTTTTTGCGATTTTTCCACCAAGTTTGATGAAAAATGATTGTGCCGTTTCAGCTGCCCAGAACAGACAGACAGACACACGGCTAGTTCTACAGTATATTAGATATTTCAACACTTAACCTTATGTAAATTATATATACTGTATATGTAAAAATAGTAATAAGGTCAGTATAAGACTCTAAATAGGCTAACAATAAGGTCAATATGAGAAGCGGAATTTTTCATCTGTATTTCCACTGTTTTTGTTAAGAGGCTCATCCAACCTCTCTGACGTATAGTGTGTGTGTGTGTGTGTACCAAGGTCACACATACACGCACACAAAAGGGTGAGGAGGAGGAAGTAGTTGTGATAGTAGTGGTGGTGGGGGGGCGTCAAGGCAGCACCAGCAGTGATGTTATTATTAATGAACAGCACATCAGCAGGACGCGTGTGTGAGGTGTTTGGCAAGACTACACGGTAAACACCGCCTCGTGTGGGCGTTCACTGCACGGCCGAGTGGCATTGGGGGTGGGGGGACCAGGTGGGGTGACGGGAGGGGTACCAAGGGGGAGGGGCAGGAAGAGTGTGGGCACCGAGCCAGGGGCAGCGTGGCCCAGCTGAGACCAGCCCCCTTCCACACAATGTCTCCTCAACACACTATGATAACCGATCAACACAGATTTCTGAAAATCTGACGTAGATGACTGAGAAGTGTGTGTGTGTGTGTGTGTCGGGGTACAGTTCTGAAAGAGAGAGAGGGGGGTACAGGTATAGAGGGTGTGAAGTCACACCATGAGACAAACACACAGTGGGGGTCAACCATACTGAGTGGTAAGAGGGGGGGGGTGAGGGGGGGGCAGGACGAGGGCCAAGTGTACGCTATACAACACCTGGTCCGCCATGACTCACCCGACACACACACACACACACACACACACACACAAGGCTCTCAAACTAAACTATCCCTGTACATAACACGTTAGCTACACGGCATTAGGTTAGGTTTCGCCAAATCTACCCTAACACCCTCACGACTACTTATATAACTACCCCCCTCGTGGCACTTCCTGTCTACCTACACTACACTGTACACCCGACCATACACACCTTCGCCAATATTTCATCTACACCCACCCATCTGCCTCCTTCCCGTGGGGTGTATTTGGTCTCATAACCTAACCTCACTTGACCTAACCTAACTAGTTATAAACATACCAATTAAACCAGAATTTAACCAGATCACCTGAAGATAAGACGCCCCGCCCTCCCACACACACTCGTCAGCCCAATTACAGGTCAACATGTGAGATAACTGCTGTATATACTGACGCACCTCATACCCGTGTTAGTATAGCCTATTATACTGTGACACTGTATGATGGTGGTTATGGTGGTGGTGGTGGTGGTGGTGATGATGGTGGTGGTGGTGGTGGTAATGGTGGTGATGATAGTGGTGGTGGTAATGGTGGTGAATGGTGGTGGTGGTAATGGTGGTGATGATGGTGGTAATGGTGGTGATGATGGTGGTGGTGGTAATGGTGGTGGTGGTGGTGGTGGTGGTTGTGGTGTAATGGTGGTGATGAAGGTGGTGGTGGTGGTGGGTGATGAAGGTGGTGGTGGGATGGTGGTGGTGGTGGTGATGGTGGTGGTGGGTGGTGATGGTGGTGATGAAGGTGGTGGTGATGAAGGAGGTGGTGATGATGGTGGTGGTGATGAAGGTGATGGTGGTGGTGATGAAGGTGGTGGTGGTGGTGGTGGTGGTGGTGGTATAATCTTCAAGTGATATTAACAATTTAGTGACAACACAACACTGGCCAAAATAAGTGGATGAGGAGAGAGAGAGAGAGAGCAAGAAAGGGGGAGGAGGAGAGAATGAGGTGTTTGATGTGCAGCAGACCGTGAGCAACATGCAACATTTAACCCAGCCAACATGACGTGCTCTCTCTCCATCGTCTCCTCAACTCAGGTAAAACAACAACATAACTACTCACCATCTCCACTAAATCTTCCTAATGTGTCTAGAGAGAGAGAGAGAGAGAGAGAGAGAGATACACCCCTCCCCCATACACAGAGAGAGAATGGATAGGGGAGGATAGGAGACAGGTAGGTAGAGAACAGGGGATAGGTAGAGAACAGGGGATAGGTAGGGGACAGGTGATACAAGAGGAAGGTAGGCAAGGACTAGACAGATGAAACAGGTGGCAGGTAGAGGGTGGTCACTGCATATCATTCATCGTTGAATCTTGTCCAATAACCAGTTTAATAAGTCACGAGGTTATTTAATGGTGTGTGTGAGTGTGTGTGTGTGTGTGTGTGTGTGTGTGTGTGTGTGTTTAAGCTTCACCACATGTGTTAGAGATGAACCTAAATACACTGGATGTTTTATGTCAAGATGAGGACTGCAGTTAGGTTAGGTATAGAGTGAGAAGCTGTAGACACAATAGGTAGATAAATATTCTTGGGGATGGAGAAAGAGAGGGGGGGAGAGACAGACAGATAGCGAGAGAGACAGTGAGTGCACCGCTGGCACCCACAAAATAGGGACAGCCTACATACAAAACTTGGCATCTTAAACCGGTGTTGGCACTCCCCTCCCCCCTCCCCTACCCCTTCCCATTTCCCCCTCCTCTCTCCCCTACCTTTACCCTACCCTTCCCCTCCCCACTACTTTGATGGCATTCCTCCCCCACATTCTACCTGGCAACCTCGGAGCCTTTTTCCCCCCTGACGTCACGTTGGCCGCTCATTGTTGACGTATATTTAGACTGTAATATATGTTTGTGTGTGTGTCTTGACGCCCACCCAGCCGTCAGGGGTATATCACATGCCCTGGGTGGGTAGTGGTGGGGTGGTATTGTGTGGAGGTCGTGTAGGTAGTGGTGGAGGTCGTGTGGGTAGTGGTGGAGGTCGTGTGGGTGGTGGTGGAGGTCGTGTGGGTGGTGGTGGAGGTCGTGTGGTGGTGGTGGTGGTGGAGGTCGTGTGTGGGTGGTGGTGGAGGTGTGTGGTGGTGGTGGAGGTCGTGTGGGTGGTGGTGGAGGTCGTGTGGCTAGTGGTGGAAGTCAAGGTTATAACGTAGGCATATTGACGTGTGTACACACACACACACACACACACACATATATCTTCTTTGTGACGGTATTACTACAGTCGTCTATTAACTCCGGGTGTGATAATACAGTAGATCCCAGGCGCTAATTATTACAGAGGTTGGAGTAGAGGGGAGGGGGGGAGGGGGGGGAAGAGGAAGGGTTATTGTGTTATTACTGACGCAATCCCTTCCCCAAGGACATACATACATACATAGACAGATGTGATATATACATACATACATACATACTCTCTCTCTCTCTCTCTCTCTCTCTCTCTCTCTCTCTCTCAGGCACATTTCCCCACACACACACACACACACACACACACACACACACACACACACACCTTTGGCTATTCTCTCTCGCCCAAAAGAACAAACAAAGAGAACAAGAGAATAAGAATAGAAGAGAGATAAAAGCTAGGTGGTGGGCGTGAGTGGCACTTGAAGAATGGTTATGGGAGAAGACTCAAGTATAAGGTGTGTGTGTGTGTGTGTGTGTGTGTGTGTGTGTGTGTGTGTGTGTGTGTGTGTGTGTGTGTGTGTGTGTGTGTGTGTGTGTGTGTGCGTGTGTGCGTGTGTGTGTGTGTGTGTGTGTGTGTGTGTGTGTGTGTGTGTGTGTGTGTGTGCGTGTGTGTGTGCGTGTGGAATTTTATGTAGATTTCTCCTAACTAAAATAAAATGGTTGTAAAGTTACAGAAAAGAGTAGGAGAAGGGGGGTCTAGTCGACCACCTGTAGAAAGGTACATAATACTTACACAGCTGGGATCCCACGTCTTATTATTATTATTATTATTATTATTAATATTATTCTTCTTAGCATCACCACTCCAGCTACAACACCCCCCCCCACGTCAGCACTAGTGGACAATAATCTAACCACTCTTGACCACTTGACCCCCCACCCCTCCACCAATACTTTAAAACCCATCCTCCCTCACTTACCTCCTCCTCCTTCATCTCTCCTTCCTTTCCTTCCAGCCCTCCTCTTCCTCCATTTCCCCTCCCTCCTTCCATCTCAATTCTCTCTTTCGCCTCATCCTCGCAATCCTCTCCCCACCCCCCTGAGCCACACACCTGTCCTCATTAATCTACCTGTAGATGAGCTGACACAGGTAAGGGGATAATTCTAATACATTACTCCCATCCATTTGTAATGTACTGTTTACTTACACACACACACACACACAGACGCACACGATTCACTCTCTCCACCTTGGACCAGTCAGAGAGAACATTAATATACATTAAATCATCAGAGGACCGCCGCCGTGTATACCAATTAACTACACATTTCCCCGGTGTGTGTGTGTGTGACTTCACTCTCCCTCCCTGCCCTCCCTCTCTCTCACCACCCTCCCTCCTCCACCAGACCCCTACAATTTGTGACAGCCAAGTAGGAAGTGTTGGCGAGGAGAGAATTTGTTTTTTGTTAAG